TTATGGAAAATCAAGTCGATTTTCTATAAAGTAGAAAATCAACATTTCCCAGAAAGCTGGAAATTCGTCGAGGAATTTCTATAAACTAGAAAATCCCCGGGGATTTTTCGGTTGATTTTCTATAAACTAGAAATTAATTCAAGATTACAGTGTATGTAAATTAAACAGAAGATTAGAATTTGAAGTGAAGACTAATTCACAGATAATTTTAAGTTGGATCTTGTAAGTTTTTGCTTAATTTTCGCGAGCCGCGCGAATAATAGTCGTAATGCAACAACAGCAAATACTGTACACTCTAAAAAATAGTCGTAAATTAATAAACTACCAAAAAGGATTTATTGAGACCAATAAACCTTTTAAAAAACTCTTTTCCCTTTTTTATTTCCAAAAAACTAAAAAGCATTCGTGACAGATGCAAAATGAAAAACGGGCGGTTTTTATCAAAGATAAAAAACCTTTTTCAGTTTTTTGTCGAGTCTAAAGCACCAGCTAAAAAACTCTTCAGTTTTTTCGCGATTTCTTTATGATCACGACGTCATAATAGCGAATGGACCATGATCATGCTATGACAATCGAAAATATCATAGCGTTGTGCGATCTCGTCACGAATGGGCGCAAGAAATTTGACTTGGGCACGTATCTTATCTGTATATTTCATTTAAACTCGTAAATCAATTGGACTGTTTAGCGAAAACTAAGATCCTAAGAGTAAATAATATATTTCTATTATCAAAACTTATCGAAACGAACATAGTCCTGAACGGAATATATAACAAGGTCTAGGAGAGATCTGTCTCTGTCTCCTTATGGTAAATTTCTCTTAACGTCTAAAGAAATGTTTGATCAGATTCTTTTATATTGATTTGTTTATGTTGTTGAACTGTTGTTGTCACAACATTTAAGATTAGAAGCCTTATTTCTCTGCAAATCATATTAAAACATGATTATATTAATTACGATTAATACTAATCATGATCAAAAGCCTCTGTTGAATGAAAGAGCAAAACTCGAAAATTTTACTTAAAGAAAAAAATCTTGTAAACTGAAAAAAATTGCTGATTTCTTCGAATTTGGCGCACAGATCGCTCCATTTTTGTTAGAAAACTAACGATCAGACACAGTAAGGCTAATATATGTCCGAATGACAAAACGTGATTATTTTTCTTTCTAACCGCACTAAACAAGTACTAAACAACTGTTGTTTAATGCGGTCGTAACGTTGTTTGAACAACGCTATGAATGAACTACTTTTATTTTACGGATCTATACCCTCGTTAATCGATATTATTGTGGTTACACAGCATTCTTAACCGCAATTAAGGACGGAAAGATTTATTGTGTTTTTAAACAAGTCGAGGTTACACTAGAAAATTCTGAATCATGGTTAAGAGCGTAGTATACTGTGGTGTTAGCTTTAAGCTCAACACACAGAAGTGACACCTAATTTTATGAGAAAATTAAAATGTGTTTGTATAATAAATATAATATATTAGTTATCCGGCTGTAACAAGACATAGTCGCTGACTGGTAACACTTTCACGTTAGAATCAACGATAAGTCTGAAGGAACTATAAACCTATCTAGTACCGCCCACAAAAGTTCTAGAGGACCGAAACACATCCGGTTAGAATGTTTATCCATTTTCATGTGTATAAAAGAATAAATCTTCTTCAGCTAATAGTGGAAGCTATTATTACAGGATAAATAATTATATATCCCCGCGAACTAATGCGTCCATACTGTTATGAGATAGTGGTTTAATTAAATGAACAAAAAGGGATACATGTCTCTCTGCTTTTCAAGTTTAACAATTATCACTGATATTGTGCATTAGTATTTCAATTATAATTTATGTTCAAAAGAGCAAATGTAAAAATCAAAGTCTTTCTTTCCATTTTCTTTTACTCACCAGATATGAATTCATGATGATATTTGAACGATGTATCAAGTATTTATTCTTCTCCAGAGTTAAAATACGCGTAATGTTATGATATATCACACCTCTCACTTTTTTTTTTGTCTATGTAGGCGAACTGCTAATTAGTGCTTTAAAATAGAGCACAAAATATCAAGTATACTAATCGAAGGGTTTTATAATAAATCTGTTTGCATTGTTGTTTGTTTGTTCTTATTAGTAATCCACTGATCTCTTCACTTAATTATTATTTCTTCTGTTGGCGTTAATTTTCTCAAGTTTGCCGTTATTCTTGACTTTTTTTTTCCGGTCTACGTGGTTTTATTGATTAAAAAATTGCTATATGTGTCAACGAGGGAGTCAATTTATCAGCTTTTAGTCTGTTAATTGTTTTCTAATAAGGATACATGTAATTAGCTTTTTCGCCTACGCTACTACTAAAATTAGGATAGACCTTTGTTATTTCCTCTTCATCGCCATAGTCAATATGTATCTTATGTAAAAGCCTAAAAATATATTATGTCCATAAATAGAAATATGTATTATTTTTGACTGGTGACGAGCCATATTTTCACTCTAGTGGAACAATAAGAAGAGAGGTAACCCATCTTAGATAAAAGTAGGATAGATAAGTTTATCTTCAATATATGACAGATTTTCACAAAATACATGAATATTGTAAGAGTATTCAATAAATAGATAAATCTTTGAGTTATGAATAAATGAGTATAATGACCATGTGATGAAAAACGAAAAAATAAAATTTCGTGTATAAATCGTTTATTTAATTAACATAAATAAGAAAAGAAAACATTTATTAATTACACATTTGTTAAACGAACTGTCCCGGTTCTTTTATTAACGGGCGTAAATGGTCTAGTAGGACTCAAATGGTGCATGTTATTTTTAGCATTGTTAAAACTGTCAGGTGTTCTATTTAAATTTGGTGTGGTAGTCGATATATCATGGTGTAATGCTGATGAATTTATATTCGATGTATTAAACATTTTTTTTTCATCTAACAATAGTTTTTTCCTTTTACATCGACAACATTGTAAAAGTTCTTTGAATTTTCGACGAAATTTGTCTAGAACGAAAGAATAAAACTATTGTATGAAACAGATAATATCAGTAGTAAGTATCAATTAATGTAAACTTATTTTTCTGTCAGATATCACGTACCACTCATTATATTGTAGATGATAGGATTAATCGAACTATTAAAATAGGGTAGCCAATGAGAAATAAGTGCTGATATTGTAACAATTTTTATGGTACCAGTGCGACTTAACGAAACGCGTTCTGGTTCAAAACATGCGTTAGCTTCACCCGCTGGACTTTTTTCTCTCGCAAGAGCATAATAGACATAAACGAACCTGAAACAACATAAGGAAAAAAATTAATCAGCAGACATAATTTCATCGAATGAAGACAGTCGGAGAGAATATTTCATTTTAGCAACATGGTTTTCCCAGTCAATCTGCAGATATAGATTCTATGACTGATGTGCACTAACAATAGCAATTTCTACTCAAACAAATGGTTGATATGCTTAACTTATGCAATGAGTAATTAGATGTGTTTGTCACTATGACATTGTGGCAAATAAACAATTTCCTACAAAGGAAATTTTCCAATATATGAAAATGTGAATTCTATTCAAGACAAATATTTTACCAATTACTTTAAAATTCACTCTATATACCTGAATAAGTTGAAGACATGAACTGGTAAATAACATATGGCAAATATTACCACAATAGCGATCAACATTTTTGCTGCTTTTTGTCTATTTTCTTGTACAATTAAATTTGAAGATTTGTGAACACCATTCAAAGGAGTATGAACACTTACATCATCAGAATGAGCAGTTCCATCTACAATAAATACTTTGTCAATATTTCTTCGATGTAGATTGAAGAGTATTTGTCTACCTGTAAGTGTATGTTGACTATAACTAACAGGTCTTTGTTTATCCGATAGTATTTTTTCTGCTGGTATTGATCCCCATAGAACCTTGACGATACTAGTGTAAGTCAGTACCATAAAACATAATGGTATGACAAATAAACAAAGTGTTATATGCAATTGATACAACAAATCAAATAGAGGATTTGTATTCCACATACAACTAAAATAGAATGTTAAAATATTATCGTTGACCATCAATTTCTAGACAATAAAACAACATTTAGCAGACTTATTTTTGTGTATTTTTGCATAATAGCAAAAATTAATTTTACATTTGCCAGACAATCGAACATCAAGAAAAATCTGAGAAAAAATGTTTTACTATATTTACTCAAACTGGTCGTATGACAGAATGGTTTAAAATAATCTTCTTTTCATATTTTCATAAAACTAATCAAAACAATGGATAGGGAAAGGATTTTAGGTTAGATAAAATGAAAATCTTACTATGTAAGATAAATCGTGTTGATAGATTGGCCAAATTGTCGATGTAATGTCATCATCACAGCATCTTTAAAATAAAAAGAAGAGAATTATTAAGTTTAGTAGTTAGATAAATTTGTTTAATCATCAACTACCTGGTGCGACAAGTAAAATGGACAAGATCCATACACCAAATAGTACGATTCGTGCGCGTTGCTTTGTACCGGTAAATTTCAGCGGATAGACAATGGCATAATATCTTTCAACAGAAATAGCCATCAATGTGAGAACAGAAACTGATATTGACATTGTCTAAAAGAAGAATACAAATTTGTCTTGTATGATTTTTTTTAAAAAGAATTAAATGAAAATCTATGTGTTCAATTTCCGCTTACCTCCTCCCATTCGTTCAAGATGAATTTGCCGCTCAGAGAGAAGGTGAACAAAATTGTGTGCCATAGCAAGAGCTTTCATTTATCCATTTAAACACATGTATTTTCCTTGTGTTATGTCTTTTTCTGACATAGAAGTTTTAAATTATGTTTTACAACACGTTTTTCAAGTATTTTATAATCTTTTATGATATGCGCATACGACTTCAGTGAAATTATATAACTTTCTCTCATACATAATAATATAAAATATATTTTTGTGTCAAACATTTCAGAATTTACAAAAAAAATTTCCTTTGCAATTTGAATGCTTTTTATTCAGTTATGTCTGCTACTAATGGTAGCACAAATAAGTTGCAGAGTATTCAATGCTTCACGAAGTGTTTCATTACGTGCAGAAGCTGAGTTATGTAACAAAACTAATGGAGCAGAAAAATTACGTAACATGAAGTTTTCTCACAAAATTGTTGTTGATGGAACAAAAGCTGAATTTTCGTTCGAAATTAATGATACTTATACGAGAGATGATCTTCTTATGGAACACTATTATTTTTCTACTACATTTGTCGAAAAAAATCGATATGAATGCCGATCAAATTCGAGCAAAATCAAAGCTAATGGCAGTCTGAATATGACAGGTTTAGCTGAAAAAGGAAATTATATTGTTTGTGTTATATTTGTAAATGGTCCTTATTCACTGGCATCAAGTCAATTTTGCGATGTCGTTAGTGTAGCTGAAAATTGTGTATTAAAACCAGAAGAGCACAAATATTCGAATCAATACGTTTATCTTTTAGCAATATTCTTTGTTATATTATTCGCTATTGTTATTATTGGTACATGCATACGTGACTATATCAAACGACCAAAAACAATTGAACAACTTCTCGAAACATTGCCTGAACATCATGCAGACAAATTAAAAGAATTAATATCAATGGAAAGTAATGATGATGCTGATCCAAGAACCTCACAATCTCGTGAACTATCTATCATATCATTGGAAGTCGATAATGAATCTGATGATGTTGATCCAATAGATAAACAGAGAAGATCACGAGGACGTAGAAATGAATCGGTGGATTCGATAAATTTTGGATATGGCAGAACTTCAGAATCTATCACATTGGGAGTCGATATTAAACCTGATGATGCTGATGAAATAAACAAACGGAGAAGATCACGAGGACGTAGAAATGAATCTACCAATGCGATAAATTTTGGATATGACAATAATGAACAATTGTCTAATAATTATAACAATAGACTTTCAAAGTCGTATGCTTCAATTATTGAAGAATCCGAAATAGATTCGTAAACTAAACTCAGAATAAAGTACCATAATAGATTTGAGTTGCAGAATAAAGAATACTCCATATAAAATCATACAAACTGGTGAAATTAAACAAGATTAGATAATCTTATGAATAATATGTTCATTTTATCACCCTTGATGATATGATAACGACAAAAAAAACAATGTCAACAAAAAAAAACGTTTCTATTCAACGTCTTTGAGCGTAATTTCCCCGTTGTTACTTAGACTTCTCTCATTGAATTTTCCATCAGATTATAGTGTATTTTTTTTCCTCTTTCGATTGATACTTGAAGGTTTTTCCTAGTATGGCTCAATTGAGTTAGAAATGTATTGCGAGAGATATGTTCGAAAAATGTTCTGAACAAAAAATCATGTGGAAATGATCGATAACAATGTATCATCTGTCACTTTCACCTTGAAGTTAAAACTATTTCGCAACATATTGTACGTCAGACTTTTCAACAAACTTGAGTCTATCTTTTTATGATAAATAATAGAAAACATCGAAAGTTTCAATACTGCTCTTACGTCATCATGATAAAATCTTTAGGCAAAACTCCTTGCCCAAATTATATATACTCTATATAAGTAATTGGATGTTTTGTATTTTATAATCAAATAAAAGTCGACAGTTAAACAAATTTCATGTTTTGTCTTCGTTTACACACTGAAGAGTTTTCAAAAAAGGCACTCACAATTTTCTTCACAACAATATTGTGTCGATTGAAAGAAAAAACAATGAGTTCTATATATTTTTAGTCTCCGTCTTCTCTCTCTCTTTTACAGCAAAATAAATGCAAATAGCATTTAACATAATTATTCAAAAGTAATAATACATCAAAAAAAATAAAGTCAAAATATGTCAGACTGATTATTATTCGATTCAAGACGTTGTTTCGAAATAAGCCCGAGAGAGGAAGAATGTTCATTCGCGTTCAACTTTTTTATTTTTTGACATCAATACTTTTCTTTACTTAATAAAAATCAATAGTTTCAATCACGTTTCGTATTTGTTCAAAATGCACGTGAAAAAAGTTATACAGAATTGAGATTCGTAGAGAGAATAAGAAGACATACCTGTATATAACTGACAAATTTGCAAAAAAATAGTCCAAAAAACCATGTTTTAGTCACATCTTGAATAACAGTTGGTGGTAAACAGAATACAAGTACCAGAACATCAGCAATAGCTAAATTCATTATAAACATGTTTGTCACAGTTCTAAAAAGAAAGAACAATGATATAGTGTAGAATTAAATAATTAATTAATTATTAACAAAAATTAGAAAAAAGATAAATTGATCCATATTGTCTATTTAAGAACATCACTTTTATTTTCACTTTCTCTTTTCATTTTGCTTCTCATATAGTATCATGTCATTTAGGTCGTACTAGCATTAATCTAGGCAATACAACAATTTTTTATTACTTCTCTAAGATAAAAGTATTCTATCGATTTTGTAAAATACAAAAATTATTAGATATATCACGATTATCTAAAACTTAAATAATTTGCTATTTAAAGTTAATAGATAATCGTTAATATCTAACAAAATACTGTTATAATGAATGAATTGAAACAAAAATGAATGAATAAATTTGTACTCTAATTCAAATTCGAACTTATCAGATAAAGTCTAACATATTTTTTTGCTATACAATTTGTACTATCAATGGGAAATCTTTTGTAGTATTTACGACCTGTATACCTATAACTATTCTAAAATGAAATACGGACACATGTGACCATTGTGAACTGGGATGCGACGACATATGGAAAAAAAATGACACTTGTAAACAAGCGTGACATGTTCATGACATCTTTTCTTTTCATATTTATCGCAAGTGATCACAAGTGAAAATCTCACAAAATGATGTGACACACATACAAAGAAATTTTTGTTGTACAAACACACTTGAAATTATGAACCCGTGTAATTGATGTTGACACTGTTTGATCTCGATACCGTGAAATTTCGAAAAAATTTTCCCATAGTTAGTCATTTTTTTTAACTAGACGAATAATAGTTATTATACTTTTAAATATAAAGACATTATTTGTTTACCTCATACTTCTATTTCGTTGAATAACAATACAAATGAGTATATTTCCAACTGTACCAACGATAAAAACAATAATATACAAAATAATAATGATCCATTCATATACTGTCGGTCTTACATAGTTCAATATTAGATCTAACACCATATCATTTGATAGACATTGGTCACTGGCATCGATAAAATAACAAGTTGAATTCCATTTACACGTTAAATTCATTGAATTATTCATAATTATATCGTTTTTTAATTTATTGTATATTCACTATATTAGAATAAGATTCACACACATTTGACTCTGTTCTAATTTATGTTCTATGCATAAACTCTGGTTAAATTTTTAATCATATTTTATCTAATTTGTTAATTATCAGTAATCCATTATCCTTTCACTTTTTTTTAACTAAGATTCATGATCTGAACACTTTATTTTTTTTTTATCGGCATAATATCAGAATCTGAAGAAACGATACAATAAAGCAACGTACTATAAAAGACTTTTTGTTCTTTTTTTTATTTTTTTCTTCTGCTTTTTTTTCTTAGTATACTTAAATAGATTCATATTTTCTTTTTTCTCTAGGCTATTTCATGTCTTCTTCTCTTCATTTTTAGGATTATACCTCTATAAGTAAATAATGTATAATAAATCATCATCATCATTCATTTTTTTATATTTCTTATGTCCATCACACTAAAAATGGTCTTTCTCGCAATATAAAATGAATAAGAACGATCATTTTTCTTTTAATATTCAAAAATTTGTTTCAATAGAAGATATATGACAAAAGATCAAAAAAATTATACTAACAAAAAAAGATCATGAACATTCAAACGAAAAAAGAACACATACAGACTTATATATTGCCGTATGAAAAAAATAAAAAGAGGAAAAACCTTGTTTTCTTTTTATTCAAAAAAAAAATTCTAACATTTATATATATGTGTAACAAAACAGGAAATATTAACAGACACAATAGGGTTCCTTGATAATTGGATAAAAATTAATTATATTAGGCAATAATTTTGACAAAATTGTCACTAATAAAGATCCAGTAAGAAATGTTAAATGTATTTTTTTGGAAGATAGAGTTAGGTAGAAAGTGAAATATTATTTTTAAAAAGTGTATGTCTAATTTTTCAGCTTTGAAATAACTCGAATTATAAAATTATAATTTAGATGAGTAACTGAACTGACTATATTATTTAGTTTAATTCTTATTAGAAGTCGACAATATTGTCTAGATAAAAAGTTTAATGTATGAGCGAACGAATATTCTATATCCTTTGACCAATAGTCTTTGTTTTGGTTTTATTAAAAAAAAGAAATATATATATCATTTGTATTGAATAAGTGTTCCCGTTATATTTTGTATGTTGTGAATAAGGTAAATAATATCACTCAGCTCATTCGTTGAGAATGTTTCTTGCTAATTTATTAAGTGATAATAATTTGTTCTCAGTATATAAATATGCGATATGCAAACAAAATAGTAATTTTTATCATTAGGCACGAAATAATTTTAAACTAAATAAAACATAATGGACGATGGGACATTAAAAGTTAGATTAACAACATATCCTAACAAAATTTTATCGAGATACCTAGCAGTCAAGTCTACTAACCAGATAATCTCAGCATTAAGAAGGAAAAAAAAAGCGATCAATAATAAAATAAGTAGGTGTCATAAGGGGGATAGGAAGAACTACATCGGGTCGGAGAAAACAAAGAGGTTTTTTTTCATACAACAGTGCATTAGGTATGCAATAACTCATATATTCATAGTTCGTCTATATAGATTGATTATAAGAAAAATAGAATTCTGATAATAAATTTTGTTAATGAAAGGAGAAAAAAGAAATACATACACAGTAGATTTTGTTTTGTGTTATTCTACGATATCAAACCTTATGATTAAACGATGTTTTCTAGGTCATTCTGTTCTACTTTTATAAATTTGTACTGGAAGAACAATAAAACAGACGAGCGTCGAGATGAAAAAAAGTATGGTAGTTAAATGATTTTATCTGTTATAGCATGATGATCGTGTGCCATACTCATATGTCCGGTAGAATCCTGCTGGACAAACTTTTCTGTTGAGATAAACTGTAACTGTTACAAGAGACGCTTAAAGTCTCAAACGTCTTTTTGCAACATTCGCGTAACAAAACTTTAAGGCTAATTTATTTGATTCTAAACTTAAAAGTTGCTTTATAGAAAAATATTTTACATTTATTCACTACCTCAGAATTGAAAGGAAAGAACTGTAAAACGAGTTTTAGATATGAAACATCTTTGATTTAATAGCATTACAAGAATTAAACATTTTAAGTGATAGCATAATTATAACCAAAAGATAAAACTTTTGGGACAACATTTTTCTGTGATTTGTCCCGATCCTGTAAGCCCAACTCCGTGAAATTTTTTATTACTCTGAACCCGTGAGCCCAAGGTCGTAAAGTTACTTTTTGTTCTGAGCCCGTCTGTCTCGTGGGATGGGACAGACGGGATGTGATTCGGGACTGTCCTGCAGAACTTTAATGCCCGGTAATCAGAGCAGGTACTTGTACTGTGAGTACTCGATGTTGTGAAGAAACAGCGTTCTATTTGTCAAGCAAAATATACATTCATAGGCCTTATTCGACGCAGATTTTGATGCTCTATAAAGTGAAGCGAATTGATCTGATACAAGTCCACAATTCTCAAAAAAAATTTAAAACATCTTAAAAGTACTTGTACTTGCCAAGTATAAGTACTTTTGCGATTATTTTGAGTTTATATTTAAATTGGAGTGTTAAGCAAAAGCTATTTGTAGGTAACTTTATAGAGCATCAAAATCTGCGTTGAATGAGGTCTATGAATGCATATTTTGCTCAACAAAATAGAACGCTGTTTCTTTCACAACATCAAGTACTCACAAGTACTCGTACCTGCTCTGACGGTAATCATTTTTTCTATTTGAAGAAGCATGAAAATATCTTGAATATATGATAGCTATCATTCATGAAACAGCCTGTACGTCTGTCGTATGTGAATGTCTAGATGTTCATATGAAACACTGATAATATTTAGAAAATGAATAAATGTGTCAAAAAGTATTTCTACTTATTTATAAAGTGTGAATAATATTTGGTTAGCCTACCGTGGAACTTCTTGTATTCCGTTTTACGAAAACATTCAAAGTCAAAGATCTTGAAATCTATTGATTTTTCTTGAATCAAGATCTTGAATCACTTTATACTTTTGTTTACATACAAAATTTTCATATATATAAAGTAACTTCGAAAATTATCCTTTCTCTGGCATAGGCGTTTGAAAGTGAGCATACAGCTGTCATATACAGTAAGAAAATGTATCAAAAATTTTCACTCAAGAACTTAAAACGAGTCCGAATTCACTCAAGATTTTGATTTTTCGGTGCTTTTTTCAAGTAACTCCTTGACTACAAGAATTTTCACTGAGATACAGATGCAATTTTGTTATATACTGCAGAAACAAGAAAGGTCGATTTATATTTATAAACTTTCTGAAAGTGCTCTCTAATTCTTAAAGAAGTAATACACAATTGTATCCGTCTTTTAAAGATTACACTCACTTTGATATTGTATTTTTTTACATCAATTCTTTTAAACTAGTTCAAGTCTTCTTCTTGCCATTTGTTTTGTGTAAGAATTTTCTTTTTATACTAAATGCGTCAATATTAACTTGCAAACTGTGTAATTATGCTGTATGATATGACTATTTTTGCCATTATAGTGTTGATAGAGTTATCAAAAAATACCACCGGCAGTAAACTCGATTTGATATAATGTTGAATGACAAGTGTGAAAAATATCCCACTGTAGAATTTTGACTCGACAAACTGTCAACATATCGAATCAAACAATGGTTGTCATCAATATTAAAAATATTAATATATAAAGAGAAATAAACTGAGGATGTTCTAGGAATAATAATAATCAAAATATTTTCAACACATTTAGTTGTGTATTATTATTGTTTGTTTGTTTTTTTTGTTGAAAAATCTGACAGTGAGGGGTGTTAATGATAATCAGAAAAGGATTAAAATTGGTTAATAATTATTATTAACTAATGAAGGCAATAATCATGCGCCACACTTATCAACTGATTTATCAGAATTGAAATATTTTATTTATATATGTTTTGCATCTGAGAATAATTAAATTATACTTCAACAATAATGGCCGTTAACAGAGTAGAGACAAAAGCATGCACATAAAATAGAATAGTAACACTTAAATAAAACTAAAACACATTAAATCATAAAGGAATTGAGAGCAAAGTCAAGAAAAAAAAAACTAACTGTCTTAAACTAGATCAAAGCATCAATTTGACATAGAAAAACAAACATTCACCGTTTGGGACCAAATCAAAAATTATAGAATTTACATCTCAGGAATTAATTTTATTTAAGTAACGATTTTGTCGACGGTTCAACAAAAGTTACTGTATGCAAACGATTAGAAGATAATGGAGGATGATGAGTACCAGATGAAGGTAGTGTGCCACTAGTAAATAATGCCGAAAATTTTTCATTTCTCGTAGTTGCAGTTAATTTTCTAAATAAAATTAGAATTTAAGAAAAAAAATGTTTGGTTAAAATTAACGTTAATTAAAAGAGAATACTCACCTTTGTGCATTTTCAACAAGTGCCATTGGAAACAATCCTTTTTTTACTAGTGGAATATTGTCGGGTTTTAAACTATTTCTATGATAATCTAAATTAAATAATGGAAACCGTCTCACTAGGTGATATATACAAATACGTTCAGTTCATTCATCGTTGAACATAGTTCAGAATTTTTTTTTTTTCTTCTCTTATCAATTGATTTTTGAAGTAATAGGAAGATAAAAATTTGAAAAGAATTATATTATCTATAATTTCGTGAGACAATTTTAAGGGATCCGCCTCTACCATGTGATTACCAATTTAAAATGAAGCAAGCAGTTGAACTCTTGTACGTAAAAATGTACAATAGAGAAAAAAAGAAAGACTAAATCTAAAAATAATAAATTATGTTATGTTAAAAAAATTGATTCCAAGAAAAGTGTATATATGTATAAGCAGTTTAAGAATAATTAGAATTACACGCGATTTACCCGAACATTATGTCAAAATCAAAGCAAAGAAGTTCGGTATAGTAGATGAATACAGATTATTGTTTTTTTGTTTAAATAAAGTATCATTGTTTATAATTAAATATAGCAAATAAAAACATCCTATGGTTAATATAAAATGTATTATTAGAGATGTCGATTTTTAGCTGAATGTAATTTTTTGTCTAACTAATCAGCGACATTGTAATAGAGTAAAACAGCAATGCTATTGATAATAGCTATGATTGATTGCTAATTAGATTTAAAAGTAAATGAGAAAATAATTTATCAACAATAATCTAATTTAATTAGCTAAGTCTAACTGATTGCAAGAATATACCTATTTTAGCTGAGTCACTACGACGAATCGCTAAAATAATAACACACCTGTGCCAACAAACAATATATACAACCAGAAGAAGAAAAATCAAAAATTAATACAAAAATTGACAACACGAACCTGGTCGTATATAGATTGGCATTGATCTCACTCGTCTAACATTGGTATGAATACTTGGCAAAAACATAGATACTAAAGTTTATAATCCATATGTGTCTTTAATATTATTTTTCTAACTGAACGCTTGTATGAGAACATTTATTTTATTCTGAATTTCTTTAAAAAGATTTTTATTTACCATTTATTCCATTTGAGTCTCCTCCATTTATATGTGATGATTGAAAATCACCACTAAGATCATTCATATCTGGCATCGTTGTCTCACGTTTTTGTTGTGCTTCACGAGATGCTTTCCAGTTTACTAAAAACCGACGTGAATTCTCTGTTATTGGTTTTCCATCAAGTACCTCTAAACAAGTGAACGATAATATGACAATAAATATTTTTGATCTAATTTGATTATTTGGCATACCAAGTGTAGTTGAAACAACAATTAAACGTTCACGATAACGTGCTTTCAAACATATTGGATTTCGATTTGTATCAAGACGTTTTAATTTTGGCCATATACTTAGTAACTGAACTAATTCTCGGAGATTTTGTAAATTATTATTACTTGCTGTTAGTTCTTCGAGATATACTAATACACTCAATTCGACCAAACTATCCAAATTATTGCCACTTACATTTAATACTTCTAAATAAATACAATCGCTGAAATTTACCCAAAGATATAGTAACTGCCAGCATAAGATCGAAAAAGTTTGATTAAAATAAACAAACATTAATTTACAATAGCAGTACTCACGCAAAATTTTTGCTAACGCTTGTATAGTTCGTGGCTCAAAAACGAGTTTTTCTCCCTCAGGTAAATGTTGATTTTCCACATAAAGTTCTGTTAAATTAACACACTTGTCTAATCCTTCCAATACACGAAGTTGATTACCACCTAAATATCTGAACAAAAAAATTCCAAATTCCACTTTTACGAGAGATATTTATACTTACAATTTTTGTAACTTTGGACAAAAGTCCAAATTTTCCAATTTTTGTAAGCGATTGTTTTGTAAATAAAGATGTGTCAAATTTTCAGCAAAATTTAAATTTTCTATTTTGGTTAGCGCATTGTCATAAAGGTATATTACTGTTAAATGTCGACAAGCCGGAATGATATCCTAAACAAGAAAAGAAAATAATATGATTAAAATGAAATACAGCAGTTTATTTAGGAAGTTTTAAGTGTTAGATAAAACAAAGATTGCTTCATCAAAAGCGTCTACTTCTACATTCTACTCAACGATTTATATCTGTCCATGTAGCATTATTTACTAATGCAAAAATCCAAGTATTAGTAATTCATAACATTGAGGCTCAGTATACATGAAGTATCTGCAAAATACGTACAACAGAGTCTATTCCACGACTTGGAAATTGAAGATGTGTGATACGAGATAGATAATGCACAGAAGATTCATCAGCACGTCTTTTGTTATGACCTGGACCTTGCTTTACGATAAGTTCGGTGGTTAACTTCACCATTTTTAGTACATCTTAAGTTATAGAAATTGAAATGAAGACAAGAAACAGTATAATAATCAGCAAACGTAAATTACTTAAACAGTTGAGCTAGTTCTGTACTGAGAAGGATGAGACTAAATGAACAGATAATGTATATCCATTAATACCAGTGTTGTTCGGACGACAGGCCTCCGTGAGTACTTTTTATTCTGCAATGTCTTGTTGAACTAGTGAAAAACTAGAGAATTATTTAACAAAAATTCCAGCGATAGGTTCAATAAGTATCAGAAAACATAGTGCATTCAACTACGTATTCTGATTCGTACATCAAGTGGACAATCAGTAACTGGTTTGATCAACGGTCAAAATAAGTGCCATCTACGTCTATCAGTCATGATATTTTATGTTAGATACAGAGTCATATTAAGACTCAACGAATACAATCTACTTTTGATGCTCAGATTAATCAAATCCTCATTGACATTGGCCAATTCATCAAAGGAATCAGAGTGGGGAAGCGAGAATCCTTCTAAGTTTTGATATTGTCTGCTGAATGTTTGGAAATCTTTATTCTGTCTTTTATGATTATGGTTGCAGTAAATAGTACGATTATCTCGTAAATAAGTGTCTCTTGATCTGATAAACTGTAAGAGACTGAGAACTATTACAAGCAGCTAGTTTAGAACACTCACGGCTAGTGAGTTGCCTGTCGAAATAGTCGGTGAAGAGTCTTTAAATTCAGCCGACTTTTTAAAAAGACGCTTTGCCAGAAAAATCTTCACATGTTGACCAAAAACAACCGTCAAACAAAAGTCTTCATGAATTCTATAAGCGTGTCAGATTTTATTGTTGAAATGTTTGACTAATCTGTACTTTAAGCTTCAGGGCAGTCAAATAAAGCTCTCTAAACATAAAGTTGTATCATAAATTTTTTTAATATTTAATCCTCTTGATTCCAGAGGTGGACAGTCTAGACTTGGATTCAGACTGGGTCTGTTTTGATAGGCTTGAACATAAAAATCATAATTTTATTAATAACAAGTGACAAGAGAAATGGACAAAACTGTGTTGTGCAATAGAAGAGCGACATGTAACGCGTAAAGTGGAATGAAAATAAAATATGCGTATATGAATTTTTGCTAAATTTTTAGCTTTAATTTAGTTTGTTGTTGCTTTGAAACAATCATATTTAGGGAGTCAAGCTCAGAATAAGAAAAAAATAAAGAAAAATTGTCAGAAATCAAGAAGAGCAAGGGCTCAGTTTATCGGTTATGGTGTGAGAGAAGGAAAAACTCGAACTGTTAAAATGATCAGTGTATTTCTTCTGAGTCATATATCTCTACATGCATACGCCTTGAAAGTTACGTATTTAGAAATGTATGCCTGTATTAATAAACGCACAGACACAGGAAGTTCGTCTTGAGATATGAGAAGTTTTTCTCACTATACATTTATATTATTCAGACAACACTCACAATTATCCTCTGAACTGTTTCTATTTCTCTGTCGGTAAGGGACCGGCAATTCAAAAAGGGAGCATGTTTCTTTTTCTCGTTTTTTTGGCACGATTGTATAGCGCTCATCGAGTTTCGTAGAAAAAACTCGATTTCAAATTTTCGGAAGACATTTTTTAGTCAAAAAATTTCAAAATATTGATTTTTGAAAAGTGGCAAAAACATGGGCATTTTATTTAAATGATAAATAAAACTTTCATGTTTGATCATCTTTTAAAATTTCAAAACCATTTTTTCTTGATTGAAAACTGAGTCTGAAAAGTTAATTTTGGAAATTTTAGAAGCTAAAATGGACTCAGAATCTGCAAAACGCGAGCAGAATAGTTCCGAATTTCTACTCGAAATCCAAAATTATCTAAAACTTCCGAAGCACACAAGTTTCAACTCAGTCGAAAAGTTGAATTTTAGTAGAACAAACTGCAAAGTACGATCCCAATTTTATTGTTTTTTCACTGTTATCGAAAAAATTGAATTTCTCAGCGGCGAAACAAAACATTCCAAAAAGGTTACTTAACTTTTTTCCCACAAGTATGACGATCAGAATGAAGTAAAAGAAAGAATTTTATCTCTTAAACTATAGGACTAGAAAGGTTTCTGTCTTGTTAAATTTTTTTTTGTTTATTTCACCATCTCTGTAAGTCATTAGTTGTTGAATATTTTATGTAAGAATTGCTTCGCATCTGTCCATAGTCAGATAACTATATATAAACGAATAGTTCAAGATGCGTAAATCTGAATCATGTATAATTATCCCCGTAATTTTTACAATATCTCATCTACATGTACACTACGATAAATCACTAATGACAATTACTAGTGCCAGTCTTTCAACTATTCAAGTTTTGTTCTAGATAAAACATGCCTAAAAAAACGAGATCAAAAAATCATAGTCATGGAGGTGTATCACGTCAAGGTAAAGTATTAAAAACAAAACGAAAAACTAAAGATATCGATGAAATTCAAAACCATATGATACCATTGAAAGCTAAAGAGCTTTTGAATCAAGCAGTAGATTATGACTTACCTGGATTAGGGCAGAATTATTGCCTTTATTGTGCGTAAGTATTTGCAAACAAAATGCTGATTTTTCTATATATATTCTTGCTTTGCTTACGGATTTAGTCGCCATTTTATCAATGACTCTGATCTACAACATCATATAAAAAGCAAAGTTCACAAAAGACGGTAAGCTTCACTACGTGTATCATCAATAGTGTCTAAATATTCGAAATTTATTTTAGTGTGAAAGAACTACAAACAGAGGCCTTCACTAGTAAAGAAGCAGACCAAGCTGCTGGAATTGGCAATTATGAGACACCACGAAAAATTTTTGTTCCATCAGATCCAAAAAGTTTATACGCAATGGACATAGAAACAACAGTATCTCCTCCAACTGATTCTTAACTTTTTGTTTTGATTTTCGTTATTCTCTGTAAAATGGTCAAAATACGTTAAATAAAAAATGTAAAGAAATAGTTGTGCCTTCTCTCTTTGATTAGACATTGTGCTATCTATTATCAGTCGGATATGAAAAAGTGAAAACAATGTGCTATTTTAAATTTTTGTGTATTTCAGATTATGTCGAACGTTCTTCGACCTGGTTATAATCCCGGTAATAATAAACCGTTTGTTAAAAATAATTTAGCCGAACAGTTAAAAACCTTTTATGGCTATCGTAAAAATGAACAACGATTTATGGAAAAACCGAATCCATTACCACCGTAAGGAAGACTTGATCAACTATTTCTTGTATTTGCTTTTATTCTTGTCCATTTCTAGTCCAGTATTTCGTGCTATCAAAACTACACCGTTATCGTCATCATCAAATATTTCAACATCATTTCCGCCTCTACAACGTCAGACGTCTTCATCATTATTCAACTCCGGTATTCAAGGACAATCACCTTCTCTAATGTCAACAGCATCATCATCATCATCATCATCATCATCATTTCCTGGTTCAATGAACAATTCGAATATTCCAGTGAAGCAAGAACCATCATCACCTAACATAAAACCAAAACCATTGAGTAATTTATGCAATCTGTCATTGAGTTTATTAGATAAATCAGTTGTGAGTACTGTGCACTTTCTACATTTTTAGCCAAAAAGAGCCTTTTCTGCAAGAGATTATAATAAAAATATTTATCTATTTAGAATATATCTAGTTTGAAGTGGACTCTTGCGTAGTAGTCAATGGGAGATACATTGTCTGGTGCTGCTCCATAAGTGATTCTGATGGGTCCTACCCTCATCTCTCTACCCCACAAAATGTGGTATCGATCAGTAAAAGAGTAATAGAGAACATGAGCTGTCTGTTATCAAATTCAATAACAACTGGGCATCGCTGCATTCATCACTAGCTCAAATAATGGACTTTCTTCGTTTCATGGTAGTAGTTAACAGGTAGGCAGTAGTGGGAGGCACAGATATGTTCTAGACATAACTAACCATCAGATAGTAAACGTTTGAATGCAGTTCTTAAAAAACATCTTGTCACATTTTTTAGGAATCACCCACACGAATACAGAGCTATTCATCAACAAATAATGATTTCTTCAATATAAATGTGAATGAGGAAGAAAAACCCTCATCCTCGTTATCAACATTAAATCGAAGTTCAATTTGTGAGTTATTAAAATTTTTTCAGTTGTATCTTATTAAAAGTGTCAGAATCTCAAAATTATAAAACGCTTAATTCGAAATTTTGTATTAATTTATAAAAATAAAACTTTTTGTTAGATAACCGCAGTAAAGCATTTTAAAGATATGTCTCAGACAAAAATGTGAACGAACGACTCCTTTTTCAACGTCTCTTTGACCAATTACCTACAGTTATCAGCATCATTTATTTGATTTCAGCATCCTCTATTTGTCCAGTATGTCAACTTATGTATGATTCCGAAACTCGTCGTCAGATAACAGATGCATGTGGTCATCAAATGTGTTTCAAATGTTTTATACGGTTGAATGCAGATGGCTGCTTATTTTGCAAACAAAATGTATGTACTGCTTATGGGTTTTTTAAAGAAACTTTACCTCATAGTTAAAATTACTTCGAAGATCTGAATTCGTCACTAGTTTTGAAGATTAACCAGTTACTAAAGGCTCTGCAGAAGGCAGATCGTATGGTTTTTTTTGTAGACTGTTATTTAGTTGGCTCCCGATTAGATATCTAAATCACTTTGTGTATTTTAGGCTCCAAAACCGAATTGTGTTGATTCAAATGTGTCAACAAACAATCAAAACAATAATATCAGTACACAAATCGATGATATATCAAATTTTGAAGATGAATTATTCAATGATTGGGGTTCTATAGCAGATAAACCATCTCGTCCTACATCAATGCCTAATAATCTTTCGACTGATGATTATTTTGTCGATGAAATTATTATCGATGACGATGAAGAAGTACAAGATCAAGAAGAAGATGATGACGAAGAACCATCGGCACATACCCTCACCACAACTCAGTCAGGTAGTGACACAGAATTTGAAGATTATAGTCATACGCGTTCGATCGATGATGATGACGATGATGATAATGATTTCGACGATTCACCAAATTCGAAAAGGCAGCGTACAGGTCATACTCAACAATCTCAAACAACGATACAACAACCGTATAAAGTAAAATGGTTAACATCTGATGTTGAGGATCATGGTCCTGAATTTGTCAAAGACTTTCCCCATACAAAGAGTATGCTGGATGTGTTTCATAGCGTATTTGGTTTAAAAAAATTTCGACATAATCAAAGAGAAGCAGTTAATGCTGCACTAGAGGGTTATGATTGTTTCGTTTTGATGCCAACGGGTGGTGGTAAATCATTATGTTACCAATTGCCGGCTGTTCTTGATCAAGGAGTTACATTCGTTGTATCACCATTGCGTTCATTAATATTAGATCAAAAACAAAAATTATTATCGTTGGGTGTCGCTTGTACTGCGCTAACGGGCGATATTACAAAATCAGAAGCGGATGAAATTTATCGTGAATTGTATAAACATGTACCAGGTTATAAAATTGTCTATATAACACCAGAAAAAATTAAACACAGCGAACAATTAGAAAGACTGTTAAAAAGTTTATATGATCGAAATTTATTATCAAGATTTGTTATTGATGAAGCACATTGTGTTAGCGAATATGGTCATGATTTTCGTCCCGACTATCTTAATTTAGGTGGGTTTTAACTAAGAAAAGTCTGTAGAATCATGTATTTATTCTATTATTTTATTTAGGACAATTACATGTAAAATATCGAAATGTTAAATTTATTTTATTGACAGCCACGGCAACACCACGTGTTAAAAAAGATATTTTACATCAAATGAAAATAACAAATGCTAAATTATTTATACAATCCTTTAATCGTTCAAATTTAATTTATGAATGTCGACCTAAAGGCACAACGGATAATGCGTTGAAAAAAATTCTTACATTAATTCAAGCTGATTATAAAAATCAATGCGGTATTATCTATTGTTTTTCGCGAAATGAATGTGAGAAAACAGCCAATTATTTAGCATCCTATAAAATAAAAGCACTGGCCTATCATGCTGGTCTAAATGATTCGAAACGAGCACAAGTACAAAATCAATGGGCAAACGATGACACTTGTCAAGTAAGCACGCACTAAAATAAAAGAGAATCTGATACGACAAAAATAAGTTATTTTTGAATTAAATATTTAAGTTGAATGGGCTGCTGAATAAGTGAAGAGTATTAGGAGATCTTCATATTCCTTTGCTGACCTAATTAGTATAGATCATTTTTCTCGTTTCCTTTTCTAGGTAATTTGTGCCACAATAGCATTTGGAATGGGTATTGATAAACCAAATGTTCGTTATGTAATCCATTTATCAATGCCAAAATCAATTGAAGGTTATTATCAAGAATCGGGCCGTGCTGGTCGTGACGGTGCCATGTCTTTTTGTTATTTATTCTACGGTTATCAAGATTTAGTGAAAATGAAACGTTTAATAATGAGTAAATATGATAGGATGTGTTTAGTTATTTTTTGAAATAACATTTTTATCTTATCTAGGTGAAGTAACAATGACATCAACAAAAGAAGCAAAAAAAATTCGAATTGATAATTTACATCGAGTTTATTCGTATTGTTTAAATAATGCTGATTGTCGTCGTACATTATTATTAGAATATTTTGGAGAAGCATTTTCAAGTCAAGAATGTAAACGAATAAAAGCGACAACCTGTGATAATTGTCGCTCGGTATTAAAAACAAAAACATTAGATTGTACACAATTATCAATTGATATTGTCAAATTAGTTACACAACTGGTGGGTGAGGGAAAAAAATCACGTCAAAATATTACACTAAATCAAATTATTGATATTTTACGTGGAAGTAAAAATAAAAATATAATCGAAGCAAAATATGATCAATTAGCAAGTTATAATTCCTGTTCACATATGAATAAAATAGGTATGGTATAGTACGGTAAATCTACTTTAATCAACCTCAACACTATAAGTGGATTCTATTTCTGTATGTTTAATAGGAAAAGAATTACATTAGCATTTCTTTTTGTTTCTGGATGTAGGGATAGATAGTATGAATAAGCTCAGAGAAGCTATTGGTAAAAAAGTGAAACTATCCATATATTCTGTAATCCTAGTGGAACCAGTTTCTACTAAAATCTGATCGAACAACAGTATATTAGCGATAGTAGTGTCTGAATTTAAAGAGTTCTTCTGAAAATGACAAATGGCAAAATTTCAACACTGAATGCTATTACTCTCTCTAGTACAGTATATTACTCTTCAAAAAATTTTCCATGCTGTTTAAGTTTGCCTAAACAAGTGATTAGACGAGAACAGTTCAAAAACAATCAGTCCTATTGAGATATTTTCACTGTCAACTATAAATTTAATGAACAGGTCTATTCAGTCTGTTAAATAGCAGTATTGATTGTCTTTTCACAGTATTCTTTTTTTATTTCATTTAGATGTGGAACGTTTATTATCAAAACTGATTCTCGAAGGTTATTTATATCAAGATATTGTTGTATTACAAGCGCATGACTCAGCGGTGGCCTATATTCGTCCCGGTCAACGTGCACATATCGTGACAAATCCAGCATTTCAAAAATCCATTAAAATTGAATTAACAATATGTCAACAACAAGCTTCGATGAGTGCTGAACAAAAAGAAAAACAAAAAACGCCATTAGATCAATTAATTGATAAATGTGTCCAATCATTAAAAGATGAATTCAAACGAATATGTAATGGTGTTAATGCATCATCAATATTAACTGATAAAGTTTTGAATGATATGGGTAAACGAATGCCACGAACAAAAAATGATATGTTAAAAATAACAGAAGTAACAGAAGTGAAATATAATCGTCATAATTTAGATCGTTTATTATTAATAACACAAAATTTTGCTGATCAACGAGAAGTAATGAAAAGAGAAGAAGAAGCTGCTTTGAAGGCAACAAATACTTCAATTAAACCAAGAAAAACAAATGATGATTTGAATTTCGACGAGGACGAGGACGAAGAAAATGATGGTTGGTTAGGCAAAAGAAAACGCGGTGGAAGTAGAGGAAAAACAACCGGTAACCGTGGCAGATTTTCAAAGAAGAAAACAACTGGCAACAGAAGTGCTTATTTTGCGAGAAAAAATGCCATAGCTAAACGCAATAGACAGCCATTTTGAAATTTGGATTTATTTATGGAAAGAAATATTTATCTACGTATATAACATATTTTCTATTTTTATAAGTCTTGAAAATGTCAAGATCGTATTTTATTTATTGATTTTGCTTGTTTTCTAGGAATTTTTCTTGTATAACAAAATCAAAGTGCACATATATTCAGTTCTTTTGTCAGATAATATAATCGTGGTGTTTCGATAAGACTAAAATGATCTATAATAGATACCAAAATTAAATGGTCACTGTATGTTCATATTTGATTTAATTTATTATTCAATTACACAGCAGTTCGGATCATTCTCATTCTTTCAACCTTTTTCAATGAATATTTTGTGTTGTAGTTTTCCTCTTTTTCGGCTACATTTACAGTAGCCAGAAATGATTAACATACAGTTTATCGGTTACTTATTGTAGGAATAGTTTGTTTTGTGTAGATTTATTCCTCTTTAAACCTGCCGTAGTAAAAAAATTTCAGAACGGTTGCTATTTCAATAGCGCGAGCGATTTATTTTTTTGTATTTTTTGTATTTTTAAAATAAAATTCAGGCCACAAGGTAACCAGATAATTTTCGTGTCTACTGTATGTATATGTGATCGTGCAGTGAGAACGTATGACTAAAATATCTTTAAACATGAACATATTTGGCATAAGATGAACACAAAAACCAAAGTGTTGATAGAGTTTATTACCTTGTTTCTAGAACTAAACAATTGGCAAGTTTCAAAACATAAATGTTTTCATGTTTAAAAGGCCGAGTGAATATCACATCACGTAGTAATTATTGCGAAGATAAGACATATCAATCGCTCAGCAATTGTATATGTCAAGAATGAGATTCTTTAGTTTCTACTATTACAATGCCACCAACTCTGCCACACCATTCGTGTGCTTACAGATTTCGTTGCTCAGCAACGATGTCGCTACTATAGTTATTAACCTCATGACTAATATATGTCAAAAAATTACATTCAGTATATAATGTAGTATCAATCATCAAAAGCGCTCTAAGGTGCACTGATTTCGAGCTCCGAAAGTAGAAGTCATTGACGCTTAACCCTTCTTCATTTTAGCAATTTATATAAGACGATTTTATTGGTTCATTTATAAGCAGACACCGTAGTGCGATTATACATCGTCTTTCTCTTTGTTTCTAAATTGCTTGTTTCTGTAGCAAGTTAATGCAATAATATATTCATGTTAATATTTAATCATTGTTAGTCAATACTTTCTGAGAAGTAGATAGGCTACTGAAAAAACTTTAGTTCTAGTCGATTTTGAAATTTCTGTTGTATTATGTACCATTTTGTTTCCAGAAAAAATAGACTACTCATTACTTTTCAGATACAAAGTGATTGTGAAACTTCTCTATGGCTGCTATTCGTAAAAAGTTGGTTATTGTTGGGGATGGTGCTTGTGGTATGTTAAATACTGCATATTTTCTTTAAAAGGCAAAAAATACGGTTTCTCTATTGTTTTTGCTTTAGGTAAAACGTGTTTGTTAATCGTATTTAGTAAAGATCAATTTCCGGAAGTTTATGTTCCGACAGTATTTGAAAACTATGTTGCAGACATTGAAGTAGATGGAAAACAGGTATGAAGAAATATTGTTATTATCAAGAAAATACAACAGAATGTTGTAGTATAACAGGTTTGGTTGTGTTCATTACTCTTTATTTCGGTCGAACACATATAGATATTTACTATAGGTACAACTTAAGTTTGATAATTGTTGCGAAAACGACATCTCTTAAAAGGACTTCCAGACAGAATATTGTCACCTTCTCGTTTCATTAATCATTTTATCTATTATGCTTGAATATTTTTGATTTATTCCTTCATATAATTTAAATTGTCAAACTTTATATTTTTATGTTTTATTTTCGCCCCAACTTACTGTTTGATTTTTTTAGGTTGAATTGGCATTATGGGATACAGCAGGACAAGAAGAGTAAGTGTTTCACAAACTTATAAACTCTTATTTTTCACTAATGCATGATTATTTTTAGTTATGATCGTTTACGTCCATTATCATATCCTGATACAGATGTTATTTTAATGTGTTTTGCTATCGATAGTCCAGATAGTTTAGAAAATATTCCGGAGAAATGGACACCAGAAGTAAAACATTTTTGTCCCAATGTACCGATGGTTTTAGTTGGTGAGTATTTTTTACTCTCTCTTACATAATGTTAAAATTCATTTTAAATGACTATCTTTTTTTGTTCAATTAAGGTAATAAAAAAGATTTAAGAAATGATGAAGCAACAAAAAAAGAATTAATGAAAATGAAACAAGAACCTGTACGTAGTGAAGAAGGTAGAACAATGGCCGATAAAATTGGTGCTGTTAATTATTTGGAATGTTCAGCTAAAACAAAAGAAGGTATAACTCACTATTTATAATTACATATTTTCTTTATACCATCTATTTTTATTATTTTAAGGTGTTCGTGAAATATTCGAACATGCAGCACGAGCAGCTCTTGCTAGAAAGAAAAAACGAAAAGGTGGCTGTATTATGTTGTAAAATTAAATTAAACGAACAAACATGCAATGAACAATAATAATAATTATTATTATATCTATCTATCAACTAGTCGAATCAACTATGTTTTCACATATACACCTCTGTACTAGTCTCTCTTTTTCTTTTTCTTTTTCTCTTTCTCGTTTTCTTTCTGTTTAGTTAACCGGGCTTTTGGCTCTTGTTCTTCTTTTTCCCTGTTTTTTATTTTGTTCAGCTTCTCAGAAACAAGGATTAAAGGCATATAGCACAACGAGTTCACGTTTGTTTTCCTTTCTCTCTCGTTTTCTTTTGTTTGGTTGTTTGTTTAGAGTGTTTTTTATTACTAGATACTGTGTGCTGCCTTGAATGATTTTTTTTTGTATATTATTGCTACTAATGCTACTAATATTACTATTTTTTTTCTTTTGCTGCTTTATTATCGCTCTGTCGCTCTCGTTCCCTTTTTTGTCTTTTAAAATACAAATTTGGTTGAAAAGGAAAAATTTGTTAGAGTACATCGTGCATACAAGCATGAATTAACAGTTAACCAAGACGTGTGTACTTAGTTCCGTTAAGTAATACTCGTATCATATACAGCTAACGTCTTGATTCTGTCCTATTGTTGTTTTTCAATGTCCAGACGAATGAGTAATGTAAGATCTACTCATTATTGATACTTATCTTACTTCTGCAGTTCAATATCCGTGTCAAATTAAACCTACTAGCAGGATAGGGTCAAATATTTGCGCTTTTTCTCCTTTCTGTTTCGTAAATTTTCAGAGCTATGCAACTTTGTGTAAAGCGTAGAATATTCATTCGTTAAATCTTCTCTACTTCTTGAAAATATTGAAGAAAGACAAAAACTTGCTTAAAAATCGAAAGTATAACGAACAGGTCCTTTCTATATCTAATATGAAGCTTTCACAGTTTACGCGTAGGTTTATGGAGAGAGAAATTTATTCTATCAAAAATGCTCTATCATCAATCGGTTTAAGTAAAGCTTTGATACTTCTGTGATTGCAAGTTTAAAGAGGCTTCAAGTCTTGAACAACAATTACTCTTCTGTATTTCTTTTATTTTTAGATTATATACAAATAATGACTTTAACTCTAAAAGAATCTTCAGACAAAATTCAAAAATATTCAGATGTCTCACATTCAAAGATTTGATTTATTCATTACACAATTCGAATACTCTCATTAATCGTGTCATAAACGACTTCAATATGTCAATTGTCTTAATAAATATTTTATATTCAACGTTTAATAATCACAAGTCTTATTCTTTTACTACGCTAGTGGAATTAAAATTATCGAACACTGTTACATGTGGTGTTATTCATTGTTTGATATATTTAATTGTTAACGTAAAATAGATTCGATATTAATTTTGTAATAAAATTAGCCAACTTGAATTAATGAACGAATTTATTGCATACATCGAATTTTCCAGAATATGATAAAATATGATATATCAACAAACGTATCATTGTGTTATCAATAAAAATTACTAACGACTGAAAAATCAATTTTCATGTCATAACGTTGTATAATGTTGAAGATTTAATAATTAATTTTAGGGTATCAAACTATCTAGACTATATATGTTACTGGCGTAGTTTGTTCCCTCAGTCATTGATCAACGGCATATAATGGAAAATATAATGAATCATCGCATCTAGTAGATTAGCACCGAATGATGGTATTGATTTTTCACTCCATTTGTTTGAAAATGTTAACCAACTTCGATAATTAACGAAGACTAATTTTATTACAAAATTAATATCGAATCTATTTTACGTTAACAATTAAATATATCAAACAATGAATAACACCACATGTAACAGTGTTCGATAATTTTAATTCCACTAGCGTAGCAAAGAATAAGACTTGTGATTATTAAACGTTGAATATAAAATATTTATTAAGACAATGGACATATTGAAATCATTAATAGTTTTTTTCAATGTGTAAAGGATCATGGTCATCTCTGTTTCTTCTGCTATTTAGGTCGGTTTACCTTGTATAATTCACCATACATTTATTATACTTATTTCTTTGAAAATGAGAAAGAAGAAAGTGAAGAAAAAATATATTTCGTAGAGAATTTTCTTCGAAGAACATTTTTTACCTCTGAAATCTAAAGCATAAAGAAAAATTTCGTACGAGCGAAATATACACAACTATTGTTAAAATCTTCGAGTAGTCGATTCTTGTTTTAGATGTCAGTATTTACTCGTCCAAGTATTGTATTTGCCATTGTTTTTGGCTGTTTTGCTGTGCTTATACCAAGAATTTTTTGGCCAATAGCGCGTAATACATTTGGATTAAATCCTCCTACACGAGATGATGAAACAAGTATGTTACCATTCTTTTTCACATGAAAAACAACCTGCAGTGTCAATTTCTATTCGAATCAGTGGGAATTCTGAAGTGTTTTATTCTATTATTAAGATTTTCGTCGACCACCGGTACGTGAAGGAATTAGTGAAGGCGATCAAGTTGAATATATTCATGTATATTACTTTTTCTACTCGAGATTATACATTAATTAGCCGATTTATTTTAGGGTTCGCCACCGCATATGCGTGGCCCACATCCTGGAATGCGAGTACACGCTGATAAATCTGATAGTAGTTCAAAATCTCTTATTACATTTGCCTTACCAATGTATGCTATTGGCATATCAATTTATCTTATTTATACAGTGTGTAAGGTAAATTTGTGTTCATTTGATTTTAATAATCATTTTTCATATTAAAATTGAAAACGCAGGTGGTGTCAAAACGAAATGTAAACAAAGAAAAAGATTATTTAAATGAAAAATATAAAAATATTCGTTGGGATCCTGATAGTAAACAATTTCAAAATAATGACGATGAAGATGCTACTGGTCTTTATACTGGTAAGATTATTAATAAATAACATTTGAAACGAAAATAAATTTGTTGAATGTATTATTCAGGTTTGGATCCTGAATATATAGAATATTTAAAACAAAAGAAAAAGAAGAAAAATGAAGCAGAACAATTCATGACTACTGAACAAAAACAAAGTAAAATATTTAAATAAAAAAGTTTCATATAATACAGAGATTAGAGATTCATCTTCGATCTCTCTTTAGTGCATCAAACATTGGCTGATATGAAAAGTTCTCTCACATTTATTAGTTCAAAATTAATGACAAAACAATCAAAAGGCGCACTCGGTAAATTCTTTAATCTTCTATATTTTTCATCTCTGTTAACTTCAACTCATTTTTGAGAGTACTAAGAAGTGATTCTTTTAAAATCAAACAAATATTAGAGTTGTACTTGTGAACTATGATCGTGAGACTATGTATGCTGAAAATATATAATTTATGTTTTTTTTCTTCACTCAGATGCGACTAGATATGATAATTTTCAAACTCTAATATTAAACTTGTTGCCTGAACCGCTATTTATTTAGATGACAATGAAATCACTCAACTTCAATCTCGTTTGGAAGCAACAGAAAGTCAAATGTGTCAGGTATTAAATGCATTGCAAGCAGCATCGGAAAAAGTCGGTCAATTCACGAATAATTCAGCAGCATTAAATCAAAATCCACCGGTATGAATACAAAGACTGTGCTTATTTTGAATTTTATCTATTTTGATATGTTTTTCTTTTAATTTTAGTTAATAGTCAAACCAACATCAGCGAAAACAAACTTAAATGCAACACGAAATAAAGCATCCATAAAGAAAAAGGTAGGATAAAAGATTTGACTGAATTTTTTCTAAAATTATTAATCACCAAGAAAAAGGATTTTTTTCTTTGTTTCATATATTGTTCTTTTGTTCTTCTAAGTCCTATAACAGACATGTTGAAGAGACAAAGACAGATGAATCAGATACAAGCGAATCAACAGACGATGATCGTGACTTCAATAATGAGAATAGCTTATATCACGCGTCTAATAATCTAAATATTAATAACAAACAGTCACACTATGATACATCCGAATCATTATCATCGGACGATGAAAATGAAGAAGAACAACCTCATCGGCTAACTGATCAGGATGATGATCCAACTGATTTGATGGAACTTGGTTGTATGGAAACAAATTATGATCAACATCCATCAATCGTAAATGATTATGAATTGAAGAAAAATACATCGAATAAGAAAATACCGTATGAAAATGTTTCAAATAATCGTGGAAGTAGAAATCCAACAGTACATTTATGGAATAATCGAAATAATAATAGTAATTCTCAAAGTTTAAGCGCTAGCACGAGTGATTCAAGTTCTGATGACAATGAGAAACATCAACAATCTTATCATGAAGAAACATTTTTAAAAAATAGAAGAAAACACTAAATAAATGATTCTCTAAACTCTGACTGTTTTTTTTTGTTCGTTTTGTGCGTGTCTTTTATCTAGTCATTTATATACTCTATATTTTATAGAATACACTCTTATCTTTCTAATTATAAGAGATCGTTAATTAGTTTTTAATTGTACATACAACTTTTGTATAAGTGTATTTATTTGTTCTCAAAACAATGATAGTTTTTCATGTCAACGTTAGTTTATTGATCAGTATACCATTTTTCAGTGTTTTTTTTAAACTCAATTTCTTGTGTATCAAGCTTATTATAACGAATATTAGATTTATTAGTGGATAGTATTTTTAAAATAGTTGTCACGATAATAGCAGTCTGTTGAAATAGCTTTTCACTTTTTTCAAATTCTATTAAACATAGAATTTTGACATTTTCGAACATACATGAATGTAATTTGAATAAAATGAAAATATTCGAAAAAACGTGAAATGCAATTTAAACAGATCATTGTAATCAAAACAATTATTATTACATCTGACAATAAAAACTAGTGATACGATGTTTCTTTTTCATTCTAACTGTAATATGTCGAAGGACGTTAAAAGCGGATTTGTCAAGAAGAAGAGAGGGAAAAGATGCTTGTTTTATAGTGTGTTTTAAGCAATTAATATACTATGCACATCTCGTTGGTATTACGCTCAGTTGAGAATACAATGAAGATTAAAAGGACTAGTTTGTTTGCATGAATAATGGATGTCAGAAAACTTTCTACACAAAATGTCTTTTTTTCATTTCAAAGTTTAAATATTATGAAGCGCACAAAAGATGTCATTTTTGCTAATTTCCGTTGTTTTTCTCAAAACAACAGAAAATGTACCATTTTGAAAACTTTTATACTTTGCTCCTTTAAAATTTTGTAAGTATGCAGTTTTGTAGAGAAATGTGTGCTCTACAAGTCTGTATACTTAGCTTTTTCAAAGCTGTCTCGCTCGTAGTGACGAAATAATCGTCGAAAAAAAAGTCTTTCTGAACTGGTTTTTCAAAACTCTCGATTCATTCGAAACTAAATTTGATCAAAATACCTCAAGCATTTATTCGGAGAACCCGTATTTTGTAGATTATAAAACACTTGTATCAATCCATCAGAAACTATTTTCGAAGTGGAACAAAAAGACATTTCGTGCAGAAACTTTCTGCCACTCATTAGCTCTAATGTTCGAGCACACTTGTCTGATGTTAAACGGCTAAGACTCCTTGGAAAATATTTCTATTTTTTATAATGCAATTACTGAATCTCAAAAGTTTTATTTCCATCAGTATCAGAAAGGTATGGGGGACCCATTTTTCAAAACCCTTGAAACCCCATTTTTCTATTTCGTTACCTTACAAAATTGCTTTGTGTTGCAGTGTTTTTCCTCTTCAATATCGATATTCTTAAACTTTGTTTCTCACTAAACGTCATGTTTTATTTCAAAACAGTTATATCAATACATCCAAAAATAAATCGTAAAATTTTATGTTTATTTCCTATAGAACGGATGATGATGATATTATTTACCGTTTGTGGATTTAGATTAGATCGTCGTCTAGTAATGATCACGCCTGTAGTTAAAAACAAATTTCAGCTCTTGAGAATCTTGTCACAGTGTATATCTCGGCGGACCAAAATCTATATTATATTATATATAGATATTACTACTATATTATATTTTATAGATACTTCTCATTATTTCCCAAGTGATTGTAGATTAAGCCTAACCGCTCTTTCTTTCTAAAGGCGTATCCCATTAAAGCCAAAATTGATGATGATCACTATTGCACGATTTCTCATGAAAGTGTTTCAAGACGGGACTGAAATCTGGCTTTAATAAATATAAACAGATCAGAGATGCACGGAAGATTCATTTTACGGAACCCTCGCAGTGTTTTTCCTCTTCAATATCACCTAGTGAATATATTTTGAACAAGCACTATCGTCGTCCAGTAATGATCATGCCTGCAGTCAAAAAAACCTTCCGTACCACAGGGTTTCCGTCTTACTAGTTTTTAGATCTTTCTAGACCCGTCCGTGGAACACAAGAATTTTTTTCTTCAGCGGGGTTCGCATTCCTCACGTATTTCTAAATAGTAACACGTTCTTCTGTGATTTTTACTCTTTTGCGCACTTCTTCTATTGGGGAACAGCGTCAGTTGTTTGACCATTTTTTGGCATCACTCAGTAGTAGAAGAAATTTTAGTGTTAATATACTATAATAAATCAAAATCTTTTATACTTTTAGATTATCAAAAAATTTGCAACAGTGAGTTTAACAACAATGGATAATACATATTCGAACGTCCGTGTTCCTGGTGCAAATGATAATGTTTATAAAGATGAATGCATGTATTCATTTGATAATCCTGAATCTGAAAATGGTCTATTTGTTTGTATGTCAACATTTTACGGTATAGGAAAAGATAATGTTAGTAGACATTGTAAATTAAATCCAGGAAAAAATGTTTTTTTACACATTTTAAGACGACGAAAACCTGTAAGTCTTAAAAATAAATTAAGTAAATATTTTTTTAATAAAATTTGTCTCCTTTTTTCATTAGGTTGCGATTGAAAATCAAGATACCGAACCATCTAAGGTAACAAAAATGGCTATAGGTCTGCAGGGCGGTTTTGATTTAGCAAATCGTTTTGCATTTGATGAAAAATATTCAATCTATATTCATGGACCAAATATTGTCATACCGTATCCCGAAAATGCCGCAACTTTACCCGAACATGTACAACGTTCTGCTGCCGCTATTATTCAATCTGAATCTGCATTTTTCAAAGAAGAATTAGCAAGAACTAATGCAACTTGGGATGGTGAAATAAAGTTCGTTTCTAATAAAGATTCTCAATAAAAGTTTAGAACTTGTGTTTTTTTTCTTTTAGAAAAGTAACAAAACATGCTCAAACCTTGCCTCAAATGACTAGCACTCGTAGTATACCGCCCAATGGTTGGAAGTGTGATCAATGTGATTTAAAAGATAATCTATGGTTAAATTTAACCGATGGTGCTATATTATGCGGGAGAAAATTTTTTGATGGAACTGGTGGAAATAATCATGCTGTTGAACATTATCATAAAACAAAATATCCATTAGCTGTTAAATTAGGTATGTTTTGTTTTCACTTTTAATTTGTTACTCTCATCTTATAATTTTTAGGCACAATAACTGCTCATGGCGCTGATGTTTACTCCTACGATGAAGATGATCTCGTTGAAGATCCAAATTTAGCCGTTCATCTTTCCCATTGGGGTGTTAATATGTTAAATATGGAAAAAAGTGAAAAATCAATGGCTGAATTAGAAATTGATCTAAATCAACGTTATGGTGAATGGGCAACAATACAAGAATCAAACTATCAATTGAAACCTATTTATGGACCCGGTAAGAGTGACATAAGATTAGAATATTGATGTTTAAAATGATATATTTCGTTTTTTCTTTTCTTTAGGCTATACAGGAATGCGTAATCTTGGTAATAGTTGTTATATGAATTCTGTCATGCAAGTATTATTTACCATTAAAGATTATCAAGAAAAATATTTTAACAATGCTGAATATTATTTTAATCATTCAAAAAATGTGCCAAATCCAGCAAATGATTTTAATATTCAAACGGCTAAATTAGCGCAAGGTTTGTTATCTGGAAATTATTCGAAAGAAGTTCCAAATGGTGGAGATCCAAATTTACAAGGACCATCCGGTATTCGTCCACAAATGTTTCGTACATTAATTGGTGAGAATCATAAAGACTTTTCAACAAAACAACAACAAGATGCTGCGGAATATTTACAATATTTCAACGAACTTGTTCATCGTCATTCAAAACAAGATGCATCACCCGATGCTTTACTTGATCCATCACAATGTTTTGAATTTCAATTAGAAGAACGTATTTATTGTCCAAGTACAACAGAAGTACGATATTTGACAAGAGAAGATTCAATGTTTCGTCTTAATGTAGCCTTACATGGGGCAAAAAATATGCATGAAGTATTACAATACAATAAAACAAAAGAAGATATGGAAAAACAAGGTAATAGGTGTGCAAATGTCATTACTTTTAGGAATAACAAAGGCGTTCTGCTAATTCTTTTTAAATAGTAAAAGCAGATTTAGTGAATTGTTAATACATAACCCTAATCGTGTTTGGGAAAGAAATACCTTGTTTATTATGTACAATAAGTAACTTAAAACAAAAAAATTTCCATCAAAAACATATACACTGTTGTTGTTTTTAATATCATCTAGGTGTTCCAACTCAAGACTTACTAGTAGTTCGCCCAATTGTAGCATTAAATCAATGTATAGCACAGTGGGCTGAACCGGAATCAATTGAAGATTATAAATTGAAAAGAAATGGATCACCATTAGCAATACGTAAAACACAACGTTTTCTTACATTTCCTGATTTTCTTTGTGTCCAATTAAAAAAATACACATACAATCCTGACTGGAGTCCAAGAAAAATAGATGTAAGAAATAAATTTGCTTTTAGCTTAGATTTGAATGTGTATGATTCTATCTTCGTGACTCTTGCTCGTACTTTGTTTAAAATACATATGCTGGTCACGATGATAGTTTGAAAACTGGTTGTTTGCTTATTCGTATGCACAGATCAAATAAGAACTGTTTACTTTAGTACACGATGTTTTTTTTTCGTTAGGTCTCTATGGAAATACCCGATGAAATTGATATAACGTCATTGCGTGCTGCTGGTATGCAACCGGGAGAAAAAATAATGCCTGAAGGTATTTGTTGCAAATAAACCTGATCTATTGAAATGAATTACTTTGCAATTTTTCTATCTGTTTAGAAGATGACCACGAGATTATCGCAACATCTTCAACATCAAATGTTCATGTCAACGAAGTATTATTGAAACAATTAGTTGATATGGGTTTTTCGACAGAAGGTTGTAAACGGGCATTGATTAATACCGGAAATAATAATGTTGAAGCAGCCATGAACTGGGTATTTGAACATCAGAGTGATCCCGATTTCGATTTACCATATCAAGCGCCAACAAAAAAATCAAGAAAAGAAGCAACTCAAGCACCAGTAGTAAATATAGTTTTTTTCTTTTCAACATAATTAGTACAGAGTGAAGAGTAAAATTTGACATTTATCGCGTATAGGATGTTATTTTTCTCATGTTTTAATAACTGATTGAGCACTTTTCATTTTTTAGGCTAGTGAAGAAGATATTCAAATAATAATGGCAATGGGTTTTAGTCGTGCTCATGCATTACGTGCATTACGTACAACAAATAATAATATTGAAACAGCTGTTGATTGGGCATTAACAAATCCAGAGGAAAGCGCTAGCCTACAAACATTGATGTAAGTTCAAACATTTGATCTGTTAAAAGAAGTGATTCAGTGAGATAATTTTGATTTTAATTTCCAGTGATACATTACCACATCCTGTTCAAGATTCTAAATCACTTCATTCTAAATTTCGTGATGGTAATGGAAAATATCGTTTAGTAGCATTCATATCTCATATTGGTTCACATCCAAATAGTGGTCATTACGTCTGTCATATATTGAAAGAAGGACGATGGGTTATATTTAATGATGAAACAGTAGCACTATCAGAACATCCACCAAAAGATTTAGCTTATTTATACTTGTATAAACGAGAATAAATATAAGTAGACTTTAAACGTTTCTTTTTTGTGTGCATGTGTCTGTACTATTTATTTTAATTAACTACTACTCTGTAAGAGAAAAAAATAAATCAACTGACTGCAATCAAGAATGAGCTTTTTTTGTCACTATATTGTCTTTAATTTCTTTTTTATTTAAGCTGTCTCAGATATGTATCCCAACTTTTTTTATTCTAGCCTTTTTACTTTCTCCAAGTGGAAACAAAAACTGTACCATGTTATCAAAATAAACTAAATACAGAAGAACATAGCCGCTCTCTTTGTTCGTTGTTTCCCATTTGGTGCAGTATTACAAAGATACAATGTATGTTTTCTAATTTGCATTGTTTTCTGATTATTTATGAAAATTAGGGGAAAGTTATACTTATAGAACGAAATACTTCTTAGTTTAAAATTATTCTCATAGAAGAATGTATTGAACTTATATGTTAAATTTTACTATGTATACAACCATGTATTTATTTATTTGAGATATGTGTAGAAATTGAGTGTTATTTAATTATTCAATCGTGATCTACTTGTTCATTCTTCAGGTAAATCATTAGTTGTCTTTTATATTTTTGTCTAATCAATCGTTACATTTAGATATTTCGCACATTACAGTTATTAAGATTGTATACACAACTGAAAACTGATGGCAGCTAATAGTGAAATGCAAATACGTCGGTTACCGCGACAACCCGGTCAGCGGTCAACCACAACTCCAAGTTTATCTTCGTCCGGATTACAGTCGTCAAATGATCAAATATTATATAGTGAAGCAGCCGTTCGTTATAATGAAAATAGTCTCGAACAATGCCGCACATCGGTATCCGTTCTATCTGGTTGTGTTTCTGGAATTATTGGCATTACCAGTTATAAAGGATTTCTATTCTATGGATTTTCTATGTTTCTTTTATCCGTTATTATCTATTTGTTTGTTCGCCATGAACATAAAAAGTTATTTACAAGTTTAAATCATATATTTATTAATGGATTTTTCAATGGTTTACTGACATATCTTCTGTTTTGGACATTTCTTTACGGCATAGTTCACGTATATTAAATCCATGATGAGAGAACATGAAGAAACTCTTTCGCTTTTCATTTATTTCTGTGTCTGTTCGTTTTTATGTTTTTGTTTAGTTGGCTGTTTTTTTTTATGATAAATTGCGTACTAATTAGTATATAATACATCTGTCGTGCAATATAAGCCAAATAAATGGAGAGAAAAAAAATTTAACAAAATAATAGGAATAAAAACGTGTTTTATGTCAACTAGGTCTAATGTTTTAATTGTGATTACATGAAATTTTTTTAATTTTTTTTGTCGACTCTGCACAACGAGGGGTAGGATCTAGGCAAAGTCTCTCGGATCATTTAAAATGAGACACATTGAAAAAAGAAAAGTCTCTAGTGTATTGTTGTTGTAAATATTTGTGACTCTGTCACAAGTGGTGTGACAAAGTTATATTCTGTCTTGTTATTAGTAAGTATTTTTGTAAAATTAAATTTGAACATATGCGGTTGACTAAAATTCACTCAAAAATCCATAATCTAATTAGTACTATCTAAGAGACGAACGTTGTAGATTTTAAATTTGCTAGGTATATATTCTAGCATTTAGATTAAAATGAAAACGAAAGGCTCAAAACAAAAAAATCGTTCATTTAATAAAGATAAGAATGGCCAATGCGATATTAATTCACCAATTGAATATAGTCAAAAAACTTCAGTCCGATTTTCTGTCGAAACTAATGATGTTTATGCTATCGACTTAACGATCAACAATACTAAAAATGTCATTGGTGTACTAACAGTTCCATCAACAATTCAACTGTATGATACTGCTTCCTTAAAATTAATAGCATGTTTATCGTCAACATTGTATAATTTCAATGATGATTCATCTATTAAAATTAATTCAATTCGTTTTACACAAAATAATCCAGATTTATTACTAGCATCAACAAATAGAAATGCAGTCTTAATATTTGATAAACGATGTCCACAGCAAGAAGTTTGCCAGTTGATTGGTTGTTCAGATGAACATGATTTTCTTTCAGTGACAAGTAATACAAGTGATTGTCTAATAGCAGCTGGTTCAAGTTTAAAAAATGAAGATAATGTTGTTATCGGATTTTGGGATACGAGACAAAAAAATCAACTTTTAGGTTATTATACAGAATGCCATTCGGATGATATTTTACAATTACAATTTCATCGATCAAAACAGCATACCTTATTAAGTGGGTCAACGGATGGATTAGTATGTTTGTACGACATCAACGAAACGAATGAAGATGATGCACTTCAACAGGTAAGAGATTTACATCCTGTGTGATGCCGAAGAACAAAAACATTTACAAAGTCTGATTAAGATCGTTAACATTTCAGTCAATATTTATCAGAAAAGATATATTTATCAGTCAATATTGATCTCTTGTTATAACTAATACACTTCATTATTTTTTCAGGTCTTCAACGCAAATGGTTCAATTTACAAATGTGGCTTTTTATTAGAGCAAGAAAATGAAAATAATGGTTACATCTATGCTGTTACATCTTCGAATTCATTTTCAGTATGGTCAACATCGGATAATAGTATTGCTATTGAAGGTGATACAAATGTGAATGATGAACTACAGTCTAGTTTGATACAACTAAATATGGATAATGTACAGACGTCGGAAAAGATGATGGAAGATGTAACCGATATTGCTCAATTATCTTCACCAAGTCAGACCATGTCTTCAGAACTCGACGAGAAAAAGATTAAAAAAAAAGTCCATCTTTCTTGCGATTATATTGTTGACTTTGTGCCTGAACTTGACTCTTTGTTTTCAAATGTTTCTGAATTTCCATCATCTACATTGTCATTCTCGCAGCAAAACAATGGCTCGTCGACAAAATCGTGCGTGTTACTCGGTTCTGACAATGTTGGTAACATCGTTTTGAACTATTTTGACCTGTGTTCTCCGTCCGACGAGACGCAATCTTCAGTTTTTTCTCAGTTGACTCTTCCAGTCGTCTCACCGCATTCTGAAATAATTCGATCATTTATTAGTGATCGAAATTCCAGTTGGTATTCATGTTCAGATGATGGATCATTAGTGTCTTGGAAAGCACAGTCAAAAATAAAACTGACTGACCAACAAACAATTAAACCAAAGCATTCAAATGATAATCGACGTCCATATTAACAGCGTATATCTGGATTTGTTTGTGTTTTTTCCGTTACCTTTATTTTTGTTAAATTATTAAACAAAAACTTTATGTTAAATTAAAAAACTATGTGGAAAAATTGGAAATAACAGACGGATTCTTTTAACGAAAATACTGGCCTACAAAAAAGCCGTTCTGAAAGTATGTTTTGAAGGATATCATAATTACGTAGTGAATGTAGGATGAGTTTTTGATAAAACTAAAATTTTGAAGGCGTTCTCTATAGATTCGTATTCTATAGAAAAAGTTCTTTTTTAACAATTGTTGATTTCCAGTGAACACCAAAAAAGAAAACATTATAACAGCTCAATCTACACAAATAGAATATAAATTTTAGCATTTAGAATTGCAACAAAAAAACTAGATAACTATGGTAATTTAGAGGGCTTTTAAACAAATGAGTAATGTTTTCTTGATGTGGAGATATTAATTAAATCAATACTAATGTCATTAAATGTTGTTGTTTCGTCACCATAAAATATTCGCGTAAGATCGATGTAAAATCCAAGTTTGATTCTATTAATCTGTTCACCAAGACAGGGTTCTCAATCAGGAGGGTGCTGGCCCCTCCCTAAAAATATTTGTGGATTTTGTAGGAAAATCGTTGACGTTTTTCCACTAGCAACTTTCTGCCAAAAATTTCGAAAACTTTTTTTCGCCAGCCACTTTCTTTTTATTAATTTTTCACTCGATTTCCGCCATATCAGCAGGAGTAGAACGTTAATTCAGTGTTACGGTTAATGTAATCAACGAAGGAAGAACAAGGTTTAAATCCTGATCAAGTAGACAATATTTCATTAATAAGAACAGTAGAAAAGATGAATAGTTCAAAATAACCGATATCTTTTGTTGTTTTTTACTTTGTCACTGTTTTTACTTCGTTTTGTTAGTGACTAGTTTACCTTTTTATTACAAAAATCTTATGATATATAAATGTAATATAATATAATGTGGAGAAGCAGATGTCGAAACTAGAAAAAAAGTGAAGTTTGTCGTCTGCAGCAGAGACTATGATTAACAAGAAGTAGTTTCTGAGAAAAAAATTTAATATGTTCCCGTAAAATTCATAACTCACTCAAAAAACATCAAAACCAGTTAAAAACTTCAGGATATGGTTAATTTTGTACGTTGAACGTGATTATAGGATTGAAAAAATGAAGATCCATACTTCTGTACAACGGATTTTTAGAGGCCCTTTCGAAAAACCATAGGGTTTTCTATATTTTTGTAGATTTACCCTCAATCGAATATAGAATAGCATAACAATTCTACATTCTGAAGCGTTTAACTGGTTTTGATGTTTTATGAGTAAGTTATAAATTTTTTAACATTAGATGAAAACAATCTGGAATCCCGGTTTTCGTAAACCCGATTGTTATCAGATTTCTGGAATTCTTTTCAAAAAGGAAACATTACCATCAGATTCGATGTTGCCAATCACGTATGTTCCAAGCGATGTCAAGATTAGCCTAAGCCGCCAGAGTACCAGTCCTGAGGTTCAAAGGAAATTGGATACCACGCCTGAACGGCTAAAAATCAAGGTCTCGCTTAGCTCACATTTTGAAAAATACACTCTGATCTGTCTATCCACGAGAAAAATGAAAATATTCTTAGTTGAAGTTTTGGAGACCTGTTTTTCATGTTTAACAGGTTGTATACACCATTGTGTAGAGAAGATGATCCTAAGGTTTGAGACACTGTCTTAATTGAACAAACATCGAAATGTTCGAAAAACTTAAAAAATCTAAATTTTTTCCGACGATAATTTTGAAGTCTGAACTCCATTTGAAAGTGATTGGAAGAAGATAGTACACCATTTCTTAGGATCTTTAGATGTTCTCTTTCAGACGGCTCAAGACTCATTTCCTTCTCATCGGTCTGATGTGATAAAAATGACTCGTTAATAACTGGCAGCCATTACTCAACAAAATGCGCTAGTTTCAGCATTTTCATTATTCAGAAAAGTTACATCAAGTGTTTCGCGCATGAGTCGAGTAAACCAAACATTTGTCTTCAAAATGACGCAAGAATGAGCCTGATTCGTTCAGTTTTGTCTGAGCAATATTCATTTTACAAATAGCCCCAAAATTCAGGTTGAAAAAGCTGAAAAAACGGCCATAGCGGTTTTGCAAAAATCATTACTGAAAACAGAAATAACGATAGCAAATCCGTATTATACGTAATCAGCAGAGAATTTTAAGGGCTACATTTTGGCCTACTTGCTTCAGACACAATGCACACGTTCTACTTCATACTGACGAAATACACTTTGTGCCTGAACTTGACTCTTTGTTTTCAAATGTTTCTGAATTTCCATCATCTACATTGTCATTCTCGCAGCAAAACAATGGCTCGTCGACAAAATCGTGCGTGTTACTCGGTTCTGACAATGTTGGTAACATCGTTTTGAACTATTTTGACCTGTGTTCTCCGTCCGACGAGACGCAATCTTCAGTTTTTTCTCAGTTGACTCTTCCAGTCGTCTCACCGCATTCTGAAATTTTTTCACTACTGAACTTTTTGATAGTGTAAGAGTTTGACGGACACATGTCGATGCCTGTATTGAGAATTACGTCCCACTTAAGCGAGTAAATGTACTCCGAAAAGCCAACATAACACTTTCCAAAGATACTCGGCTAAAAATGCGCAAAAGATATACGGCTTTTGGTCGCTGGAAGTCTGTCAGAATAGCCGCAGATTACACTCTTTTTAAAATTTTAAGAAGTGAGGTGGTTAAGTCAGTTAAGAAAGATAAGAAAAATCATTTTAAGAATATTGTTTCTCTTTTCAAAGATCCAACACGTTTTTGGCAATCTGTCAATAAGTTTCGTAATGGAAAATTACCCATTCTTCAATTTGTTACGGACAAAACTAGTCATACCTCTTCATCTTTAAACGAGACTTGTGGATGTTTAGCAACCATTTTAATTCTTGCTACTCGTCAGTTCAAAATACTCTCTCTATCTCTGGAACAACACCCAACTTAGTGGGTCCATTAATTTCTGATATACTCGTTGACCTAATCGAGGTGGTGGAAGCTGTAGGGGCTATGAAAAACACCGCCAGTGTTGGAGTTGATGGTTTCTCACTGAAGTTTATATAGTTATGCCTACCAGTTCTCGGAAATCAATTAGTACATATATTTAGGCTTTCAATCTCAACAGGAATTTTTCCAGTTCAGTGGAAAGTAGCTAGTATAACACCAGTATATAAAAAAGAAGATTCATCGTTTATCGAAAATTATCGTCCAATTTCACTTCTATGCGTTGTAAGTAAGATCCTTGAGAAGATTATTCATAAACAGCTGTTATCTTTCCTTCTCGACAATAGGTTGTTAAGCGCTATCCAGTTTGGGTTTAGACCGTCTTCTTCAACGTTAGATGCTTTACTAAGGGTTACTCACTTTCTTTTTAGCAGCTTAAATAAGGCAAGTCCTGAAAAAGAGCATTGCATAGGGTTAAGCTTTGATCTGTCAAAAGCATTCGATCGTGTATCGACTGACCTTCTACTAAATAAGTTAAAACTACTTGGTATCGATGGGAGTCTTCTTAACTGGTTTACATCTTATCTTACAGGGCGCACTCAGTTTGTCAAAATTGGCGAGAGCTTTTCCTCTCAGTGGCCGGTTCTCTCGGGGGTGCCAGAAGGGTCCATCCTCGGCCCTTTACTTTTTATTTTATTTCTAAACGACTCTTCCGCGCCAGTTTCATCGTCTGTTTTTTGCTGATGACCTTTTTGTGGTTTTATCGTTCAAAAAATCGGAAAACATTTCTGTTATTCAAAATTTAGTTCAAGCTGAAATAGACAGGGTAACACACTGGTGTGAGAAAAATCATATGTTATTCAACGTTGGCAAATGTTCATACACTTACTTTTCACTTGATCCCAAAATAAAGCCCGATTTTAAGTTAACTCTATTAAACTCGAAGCTTTTGCTCGATACCGATCCTAAACTTTTAGGTATGCGTCTTTCTCACGATATGAAATGGGCAACACATATCCGCGAAGTAGCAACATCTTGTCGGAAAATGCTTGGTGTTATTAATCGAGTTTTCGCAGGAGCATCTCAGTCAATTCGCTAGTTTTATATTTTACTTGCGTTTTACCCAAAATCGATTACTGTAGTGCTCTTTACTAAAAACTAGCATGTAGAAACTGCTAGATAAACTGATGACGCAATGGTTCAGTTGGTTCAATCGCAGGCATGTAAAACAAAATGTCGCATGTTCGCTTCTAATCTATTTGTCTATCTTTCTTTC